AATCTCAGTGCTCTGGGTGGTCTGACTTGGAGATCAGTGAGTCATCTCAGAAGAAAGTGACAGCAGATCATTTCTGTATTATTGCCAAGGAAACTTCCAGGATGAGTCCATGAAGTCACAAGGAATTGAGCTCGACTTGGAGCACATTTCAGTTTCCCGCATGTTCCTTTCATAATCACTACCTCTCCCTACCTATTCTATAAATATATTTCTCTCCAGGCTTCCAACCAGGTACAGGAAAGAAGAGCAGAGCTCCACTCTTTTATTGAATGGGAAAAAGGAGGCATATTGGGGCAATTCCAATTGTCTACAACCCCAAATTTAGATGCAGCCATCCTCCTCTTCATCACTGAAAATAATTATTTCTTGATTATTTGTCAGTTCTTCTGTACTGGAAATCAGCCAAATCTGGACAACACAGTTTGCCAGAACAATGCAACGATGTCAGAGATGCAAGACAAGGGCAGTAATATGGAAAGCCATTTTTGTGATCAGTTTGTTTTTTACAGAGACGGTGCTTTAAACCAATGGTGGGATGGGAGAGATGGCCCAAGAGAGAGTTACTAGGCCAAAGTTAGCCAGCAAATTTCACCACTGAATAAGAATTCAGTCTCACAGACTGAATCTGCCACTTTAACCATTACATCAAAATTCACAAGAAATAAATGAAATTTGGCGTGATAGATCTAATTCAATTCAAGGTAGTTTATCCACATGCATACATAGAAACTTGGGTAAGGGAATGAAGCTGCATCCTGGAATCCAACCTCTGACAGAACATGAGACCAGAAGGAGAGAAGCTGGCAGACTAGAGGCGGCTGATTGGAAAAACATGTTACCAAGTCTACTGCCAGCTGTTCCTCAGTGGTTGCCTCTGAAGACTGACCAGAAAGAACCACCACTGGACAGGGCTGCTATGGGGCCAGCGCCAAACCATTTCTGCTCTCCTCGGAAGACCCAAAGCATCTCCTTCCCACTCAGTAGCGGCCCCATGAAGCCTCGCCTAGTTCGATTACAATGGAATTGCCTGGCAGGCGTTCCAATACCGTTCCAGCGTGATCGTCTCTCTCACTCATGCACCCACCCGCGGTTATGTCCAGTAGACACATGCGCCGAGCTCCTCTTGGGCCTCCTGCTTTTCGCTCGCTCCTTCTCCAACCTGCCCAGCGTCTCGCCCACGCTACATGTTGGTGTCACCAGCGACCTGCCTGGTGTCCCAGTCATGGGCTCCAGTCTCTGCACTTCCGCCGCCCACAATTTCGGTGGAGGAGCGTCCCGAGTCCTCCGTACCCTCTGCTGTGGCAAATGCGACTCCGCCTCCGCTCCAGCGACACGGACGCGGCGGCTCCTCCTGCTTCTGCCACTCGTGCTGGTGGACCAAAAGGTGACCTTTCTAGGACACCTTTCCTCCGGAAAGCGCACCTGCCGTCTGTCCCTCTTCTGGGGCAGCGGCCAGGGAGCGCATCCCCGTACAGACACCCACCTGACGGCCAGAGCCTGAAATGCCACCTGCTCCCCTCGGTGGTGCCGAGGGTGCGTCCCCCTTTGGGACCTCTGCAGGAGCAGGGCCCAGGACCTCGAGGGCAGCGTGTCTCGGGCCGTGGAGCTCTCTGCAAGGTCGAAAGGAGTGTGTCCTGAGGCCGGCTTCACAGAGGACGCCTTCCCGGACTGGTGGCACGACGCGGGGAGCCCCTGCGAGCCCTACCTGGTCTGCCGCCGCCTCTTGCATGGCGACAAGGGCTTTTCGGCCTTTCCTGGACGGCACCAGCCGCGCAGGCCCAATGGGCGGCTTTGGTAGGGCGCAAGCAGCTCATTCGCGGGCATAGCTGGAGTTCGGCTCCTGTGGTGCCGGGAGGTGGTATGGGGGCCATGCCGGTCTGGAGGCACCTGCGGGCGGAGTGGCAGATTGCAAGGCCTTTGGCGCGCTTCGGCTCTGGGGACCCTTCTGCGCCTCCTCTGCTTTCTTCTGAAACAAACTTTTACTATTCAGTTGTGGCTTAGGCTTCCAATGGATTTTTTTTATGATAGTGTTAGAAGGTTGGGACATGTAGACATTTTTAGATATTTAGACATTTATCTTTACCTGCTTGTATAACATGAAGTAACAGCAGGCCCAGCAATATGCCAATATTCCCTTTCCTGTATGTATGGTTGACCTCACAGTGATTGGCCTCACTTTAGATTA